TCCTCCTTGGATGGGGTTTTAACCGTGTGAAAGTCGCTGTTAAAAGGGGAAGGTGCCAAAACAGGTTTTGAAGAAATGCTCCATAGTATATGAGTAGCAGCCAAAGCCGCCAGGAGTGCAGAAGCATGTCCTCAACACTCAAATTCCTTACAGCAGGAGTGAGAGGAATAACTACAGCATGACTTGAAGACAGAAATACTGCTGAGGCGGAAATAACTCTCTCATGCTAGGTGAGGATTCAAACCAAGTTTAGATTACAATGGCATACAATTTCCTTTTTTGAAGAAAAGAAAATTTTCATATTTTCTTCAAGAGAGGAAGGAATTCAGTGGAGTGACAAAAGATGTTGACCAGATCTTGCAAAATGCAATCAAAATAAAAAAAATCAAAGAGAAATGTTGTGATTTCTAAAAATCATGAAAAAATAATACTCTTTTTAAAAATGCTTTCTTTGAGAGAGCATACTTTTTTTCAGTTATAATTTGGATGGGAATAGGATGGGAGCACTAATTTTGAACTGTAAGGTTTTTGAATTTTGAATATTTACACACTCTTTGGAACTGTAATTATAAAGTTGATAAAATTTATAATTTTGTAAGTAAAAAATCATAGTTCCTTCCATCCTTAGGAATGCTATTGCACTGTATTTTTCTTTATATAATAAACTATTTGAAATTAATTGTATCAGCAGAACATACTACATTGCTGTTTTAACATTTGGGAAAGCAAAATAAATTGTATTGACCAACAAAGATCTCCTTAAAATCTGAGACAGCTTAGCTCACTGGAAGAACCCTGAGAAATTGTGCTTGTAGCTGCCACTGTTTTGGAAGGCCTGCTGGATCCAGGGGTAGTGATGTACTGCTTGGAACAAAGACAAATTAGATCACAACATACATCATGGCCCCATCATCTGCATGGCCAAGTGTTACTTTTACACCCTCCAAAAGCATTTGCTGTCAGATCATTTTGTCATGTCTTTGTCCACCCAGAGCAATACATGTCACAACTCTGTTTCTAAAGTTCAGAATTGTACTTTATTTTCTGTCAAAGATGAAACTAGGAAGACTCTCTTCAGTTGCTACTTTCTTGTCTGCTTCACATCAGACAGGAATACCCTTTTCTGTCAGTTCAAGGGATTCTTTCCTGAAGAGAAAGGGAGGAAAGAAAGAAGGGAGTGAGGTAGCTTTCCTCCACACCTGTAAGTTTCTGTGGCTTCTTCTGAGCTGAAAGCATTTTAAATGTCAGATGTTAATCAGAAACTCTAGGCTGCTTAGTTGCATCTGTGCCAGCTGGTTCTACCAAGTTGATCTTCTAGGTTAAGTTGATATTTCATATCCTCCAGGGGCTCATATACCCCATAACAGAGCAAACCATCCATGTTTGCCCACTGGGACATTAGAGTTAATAAAATCTGTGTGATATACACCCATGAAAAATACGTGCACGTGTACAAACTCCATATCCCCATGCACAGACAGATAGAGCAATGACCCCATCTGACCTTCCAACCTGTCAGCTTTTCATGGGGCTGAGAAAGTACCCTTGTGAGCTACCTCCTGACCCAAGGGTTTATTATGAGATTAGAACCATAGTTTAAACCAGGTATCAATCCTGACATAAATAAAAATACTCATACTTTCAGTTCAGTGAATGTGACAAAGTGTTCTTAAATGCAGTATTCCCATTTCTTTCTCTAGTTGTCTCAATTCTAGAGAACCAAAAGCACCATCCAATGAACACAGAAGGAGATGAGAAGTTGGCTGTTAACTTCAAGTTCTATTTTGGCTCGAAAATCAAAGGCCTCCTAAAGCCTAATAGAATTATAGACTCAAATCTACCATTAATTGCATGCATGGCGCCAGTGTAATAAAAAATGGAAATTCATTGTCCAAGAATGATTTATGAAGTCCAGTAATTCATGTCAGAGTTTCCACAATGTTGTGATTCTCAAAATCTCAGGTCCAACTAACTAACAGTGCTCAGTTAGACATTGATCTTTAATGAATGCATGCACTTTACTGATTTTATTTTGGCAAAGTTACAAGTATGGAAGCAAGAGAGAAAGAGAGGGAAAGAAAAAGTGCAGTAAAATATTCAGCGATGTTTCTAATCTGCTTTGAATGTGGTGTGTTAAAGATATTAATTCCATCTTTCCAACCTCTGGGACAAATGAGTATGGAACATGTAAATTTCTGAAAAAATGCACAATTTTAAATATTGAGTTCAGCATATTATATAAAAAATAGATATTGAGAAGCAAAGATCAGATTTAAAGATCATTTTAATAACAGGCTTTATTTCAGATCTATAATATATATATTCTATAAAAATAATGCATTAAAAGTATTAGTTAGCCTATTTTTGACCATTTGTGTCTCTGTAGTGCTATTCCAAGTGACCTTTTTTTTTTTAACAGTGTACATTTAGTTTTAATGGTTCAGCTCGTCTTCAGTCATCAATAGGGAGCCTTGTTACCATGGTGACAGACAGATGGATTAATGCAATGTTTAGGGAGATACAGTAGTGCCAAATTTTTATATATATGGTAAGCTGTAATGTATTGCATACACAAAAGGGCATGCATGCAGAAAATTTCAGGAACGGTCTTCAATATGCACAGAATGTCTTGACACAATATTCCCACTATCTTCTGCCAGAAAGTGGCCATCTAGCTCCCACTTTATGCTCTTGAAAAATACCCTGTTGGAGTCACAGACTCCAGTTGCTCTGGAAACTTAAACTGAATGTCTGATGAGAGTGGAAAGGGCTGTGTTCAACACCTGACGTGTCGGGTGCATGCACTAGGCCACGAAGCTGCCAGTCATCTGGGAATGGCTGTCTGTAATCCACTCCTTGAAATGCAGCCTGACATCTTCAGCTGACACCTTTCCATGTGCCTGTTTACTTTATCCACTGCAGGTCTCATTCATGAGAAAGAAATACGAGATATACAAAAAACTTGGGATTTTAACAAAGCACAAACAGATTGTGTGTGGAGAAATCCTTCTTAAAACTTTCACAGTTCCTTAACTTGTAAACCTTTAATGACCTGCACCTTCCTCACCCATCTCACTCCCTTCCCTAGAGCTGCTAATGAGCTTTCCTGTTTTCAAAGTATTAGATTAGTGGTTCATGTCTCGCAGACACCCTCAGACGAAAATGAAATTAATACAGGAAGAAAATGTGTGACAGTCATGCTATGAATTCCTGTCATTCAGACTGTGAATTCCCCCATGCTCATAGAACTAGGAAATTATGCTAGTTGCATTGTTTTATTTTATTATATTTTACTTTATTTGCTGTCCAACTCTTGAATCATTCTGTCATTGCCAAACATCTTCAATGCAGAAACCTATCATAAGATGCTACTGAAAAGTCAAGTAATTTTAAAAGACAATTTGACCTGCCAAGTGAAATTCTGGCACAAACTTAATGCTCTTAAAAATATTTTAGATGTGAAATCAGAATTGCTTTATCCAGAATACAATATTAATTTAGGTAACAAGACTAATTTCATAAGAAATGTTTTCTACCCATCTGCACAAAGTGATAATTATAATTCATTGGGAACCTAGCCTAATATCAGCTCTCCTTCCAGGCCTTTTAGATCGTAATATTAAACTATAGCAATTAAGCTTATGAATGACTGCAAAAAGGGCCTTTGGATATGACTGCACTGAAGCCAATTAAGAAAAATATACATCTTGTATTCCTGACAATTAATTTTACAGTTGGCTTTCTCAGCAGGTGACGTACTACTAGCATACACAAGTCAAGTTTATAGTGGCCACCTCCCCACAATAAATGACATGCCAGTCCAATTTCTTCCTCTGCAGCACATGCCACTGTAGAGGGTCCCCAAATTGGTGTCACTGGCCATATGAGCATGGCCAGTGGCATGGGGTGGGCACAGCAGCCTTCCCACAGGGACATGCCACGCAGCAGCTTCTGAGGGACCCTCTGCTGCCCAGCGGTGCATGCCAGCAGCACACCCCTCCCACCCTGCAGCCACCAATGTGTGGGGTTTTACATCAGAGCCAAGCTTGAAGTTACCCTTGCCCATGAACATATTCGTGGAAGAGGCAAACCAGACACCCAGGTCTTGGTGCAACCTCCTTCCCAAAGCAGGTTCAAGCTGTGTGCTCAGAGCACCTCACTCATGGCTTTGTCCTCATGAAATCTTCCTTAAAGGAACCTGTACAGTCTTTCCAGGGAGTCTGATCTGAGCCTGACTGTCCTTGTGGGAACCTGCTAGTTACAAGTCATCTCCCAGAGCCACAGAAGGTAACACACAGGATGGACAACTCTATCTATTGGACTGTCACTGAGAGAGGCTTCCTTCATCTTGCCAACTGTAATTCTGGAAGTTTCCCGTTCTGGCCACGTTCTGCCAGGCTGTCACCCAGCAGAACCCGGTCAGATGGTCTGGTGGTTAAGGACTCCTGCTGCTATCTCAGCCTGCAGCATCCAGTAACAGTGGCTGAGACACAAGTACTAGGTCAGTGACACAATGAAAATAATAATTAATTTTTGTTGTTTCTTTTTTTTTTTTTTAAATTCAGTAAGAAATACTTTTTTTTTTATTTTCCTGGACAATAGTAGAGGTTTTTCTAATACGGTACAGCAAAGGTACTATTAAAAGTTCCATAATGAAACTCATGCTAAGACCACTAAAGACACGATATCCAGTGAAATTCAAATACAACTTGTAAACATATTTGCTAAGTCTCTAAAGACAGTGGAAATACCACAGGAATTGGGAAGGGATCTGTGATTTTCCTCTCTAGTAAATGTGGGTAAGGCCAGAGATACACACATATTTTACTTGCCAAAAGAGAGTATTATAAACACTGAGCAGGTAATAAAACATAAAATTTAGTAAAGGATAAGAACAGAAAACAAGCAGGTACAGGCATAAAGAAGACCCTCCTTAAGTGTTCTCATTTCTGCAACCCCACCTGAATTCCATCCAAGGCATGTGACAACCTTGGTATGTTATCAACATCTCTGAAATCGTAGCGCGCCTCTGACCAGCCATAATATCATCATCCACAAATGTTAATTTGGGATTTATAACTGAAACTCTGGCCAGATTGCCAACGGGACTTTTGCCATTTACTGAAACGTGGCCAGGCTGTGGCCATAACAAACAATGCTGCTGTAGTGTTTCTGCAGCATGTGCAGCATGCCTGCACACACAGTCTTGTCCAAAGTTATGCCTCACATGCGCACCTGCATAACCAAATGCAGAAGTGAAATTAAGGAAGAGTGTTGCATATTTGTAGAAGCAAGCTGCAGTTTTGAAAAGCATCTCTGGGGCTGGGGCAGGTGGCTGGAAATCTGGAGATCTGGCCTTTCAGCTCCTACCTTTGCTGGAGAACCACAGCAAAGCCTTGCACAAAACAATCTCCTCATCACCTCCAAAACAAAAAATACCCCTCCATAAGTGGATGAAGCCAGCTCAATCAGTATTTTTTATGCGTCTTTTGATTCTCCAGTGCAAGGCTCTTCTTACAATTGTGAGTACATTTGACAAATGAGCACTGCCTTTTGTCAGTATTTCTGTAATTAAACTCTACACATCACTATTCAGTGACCAGATTTTTGCTGCAGTGGGACAAGAGATCAGAGGACAGGCTCTCAACATGGGAATTTCAGCCACCAGAACCTTAGGATACACAACAGCAACCAGCTAATTATAAAAACAGAGGGTTCTGCAGAAACCAAATCATAGCTGCAGAACACTTTAATTTCTTGTCTAATCAACTAGAAAATTGTTTCAAAATATGTAACTGGTTTCTTCATGCCCCTGCCTGTACACAGTGCTGATGCTGCATGGTGCTTTCAGGAATATCAAATCTGCCATAAATAGAGGAAATGACCCTAGCAAGTCAGGCAGAGGATAAAGCTCAGCTCTCCTGAGACCCAAAGGGTAGCTCAACTGCTGCAATTTTCTCTTTCCAAAACCAGTGTTCAGCTCCTTCCCAAGTGCTTTTACATAATCCAGTTCAGTTACTGAACATGTCCATTTAACCACTATTCAGATCAACCTCCTCTATGTTTTGAATTGGATTTTCAAACTCCAAACAGGATTCTGTGTCTCGGGTACCAGCATTTTCTGCAGTGTAACTCAAGACTTTTGGCTATATAAATCAGAGAGATAACTTAGTGAACATAATAAATTACTGCCTTTATTATGTCCCAGCCAGCTTATCAACTAGCTTCTTTGCCTCTGAATACCTAAATTGCAAGCTTGGTCCTCAAGTGGAACTCACTGTTAGTGGAGATGGCCAGGTGTCACTGTGCAGTCCTGCACCAGAGAGGAAGAAGAGCAGGAGACATACAGGCCAGGACTGAAATACCTCACAATATTACATTAAGAAATTTGCACACTGGGGTTCTCTTGATAGAGCTGCTTATTGGCAGCAATGGCCCATGTTTGAAAGGGTTATAAAAATATCATAAGGAATATATTTATGCTAACTTGTTTCTTTGGTTTTATTTTTCTTCCTCGTGCTCTTGCTTACTCTCCGCACTCCTCCCTCGCTAATACTGCACAAAAATATAAACTCCCATATGAGAGACATCATGTTACCAATTTTTTGTCAAAACCCAGGGGTTGATATAAAATTCCTAACCATTACATCAGAATCACCAGTGGAGATTTACACATCCTTTGAAGTGGAAAACTTTGGTTCCCTCTCACTGTCTGCTTTTGGCTCACCAAGTCTTTTTTAAGAAAAAGGAAAGAAAGCATTATATTATATGCAATTATATACAACAAGAAGAGATTAATATTGTAACCTAAATTAACACAATTCTGCTGAGTATCTCTTGGGATTTTTAAAGCAAGTAAAATTTACAACACTAAGAATTTTAAGTTATTGAGAGTGGATTTCATGGTTTATATGCTCTGCTTTCAGTCTCTGTGAATGATTAATAGAGACAGATCTGATCTGTCTCTCTTAAATATAGATTCTTGGCATTGCTCAAACCAGGATTAAATAACACCATTATACCTTTCTCTTCTCTTTCTTCCTGGTTCTGGAAAAATTTGAAAGAAAGTGATGTCTTGATTGATGTGAACTCAAAAAACTGTCCTGAGAAGAAAATTCTTATCATCAAAGACACAAAAAAATACAACAGACACAATAACCTAATTGTCTCTCACAGTTCAAGGATTCCTCTATCAAATGCAGTGATGATCTTGACACTAATTACAATCCAAACGATATGCAAGCTCCTGTTATAGTTTTATGCATTCTAATAATTTTAAATACTTTATATAAAAAGTAATTTATTCTCTTCACATTGTCACTCTGTATTTTTTCTAAGATACCCTTCTCTAAGCTTTTCCAAGAGGTTTTGTTATTATTTGTGGCAAAGTCTAATTCTATTCTAAAACACACACAGGATTTTGGGGTACTTTTTCATGGGAAAAAGAAGACTAAGGAAGGAGTCATTTGCCTGCTGTCCAGATTAGGAAACAATGAATTGGTCATGGGTTCCCTGTGTAAAATATTGTTTAATTTACACAGCACATGGACTATTAGGAAACAGCTTTGGATTGGTTTTTAGAAGTATCATGAACAGGAAGTTTCCCAAAATACTAATTTTTTGCCTAGCAACCCAGTCCCTATAATTAGACCCTTAGATACATGCTATAAATTATGTTAACAGATACAAAAAAGGAAGCTGGGGAAGAAATGCTTGGTTTGGATTTATTTACATTCATTGTTTGCTGTTGAAGTACTGGCTGTTATAACTAAAAATACACCTTAGCAGTCCATACCGAATTTTAAATTAGTACACTGTTTGATAAAAGTGATAAAATTAGGTAGCACATCAATTTATATTCATCAGCAGCTGAGAATTAAGGTGGCACAGAGATGAAAAAAACCCAGATGTATGTCCTCATAGTGTGAAAAACTCTTTACATAACTTGAAAGAATGACAATTCGGAACAAAAAGATGTACTTTAAAGCGACACCGTTCGTCAAGATACAGCTTACTAAAATTCCTGTGAATTATAAGAGTGTTTCCCAGTTTTATTTGGTAGAGTCCGCTACGCGATCTGTCCCTCGTACATAAAAAAAAAACCCTCAAACCAAAACCTTTATGAGCCAGCTACAAAAGACTTGATATAAAAGAGGCTGTGACCACTCATTCCCATTTTCCCTCGGCGCGATTTGGACTCACGGGACGCTGAACGTCCCGCATGGGGAGAAGGCCCCTCCTAAGGGGGAGGCAGCTCCGCCCGCGCTGCCGCTGGATCCCGCCCGGCTGCGCGGCCGCGGAGGGCGAGGAGGAGGAGGAGGAAAGGCGGCTGCGTGTCCCAGCCCTGCTCCCTTTTCTTCCGGGTTGCAGCCGCGGCCGCTCCTCCTGCCGTGCCTGGGCCATGGGGGCGGCTGCCGGCGCCGCCGCCCATGAGGGAGCTGTGGCC